TGAAATCAACACTACATCCATTACTCTTGTCCCTCAGGTCCAATGTCCAACTTACTCATCAGATTTCAGGCCTATATCCTGCTGCAATTGCATATACAAAGTCATCTCTAAAATTCTTGCAAACAGAATCCAATCTGTTATGGGATATATAATAAATGATGCTCAGTGTGCATTTGTGAAAGGAAGACTGATATCAAATAACATCCTCCTTGCTCATGAACTTGTAAAGAACTATGGTAGGAAGCATATATCTCCAAGGATTATGATTAATATGGATATCAGAAAAGCTTTTGACACCATTAGCTGGAAATTTATAGCTGAAATGCTCTCTGGTCTGGGGTTTCCAAATATGCTGACAAAATGGATTATGTCCTGTATTTCTTCTCCCAAATACTCTATCTCTCTAAATGGCTCTTTACATGGCTATTTTAAAGGGGAAAGAGGGCTACGACAAGGTGATCCACTGTCCCCTTACTTGTTCATCTTGGGTATGGAATACCTATCTAGGAGCCTTGATCTTTTGAAACGTGATAGGAATTTTAAATTCCATCCTAAATGTGGCAAACTAAAAATTTCCCATCTCATATTTGCTGATGACTTACTGTTGTTTAGCAAAGGGGATCTGTACTCAGTCCAAAAGCTTAAGCAGTGTATCTTTCATTTCAGTTCAGTAACTGGCCTGGATGCAAACCCCAGCAAAAGTGCTGTTTTTTATGGTGGTGTTGATGTTTCTATCAAGGATTCTATTCAAAATTGCTTAGGCTTTTCTGAAGGCAACCTACCTATCAGATATTTGGGAGTACCTCTTGTATGTAAGAGGTTATCATATGATGACTGCAGACCTTTGTTTAACAAAATTTCCAGTCAGTTTCAAAATTGGATTTCTCATAGGCATCTATCCTATGCGGGGAGACTCTAGATTATCAAAAGTGTCATCCTTGGGGTTCAATTATATTGGACTTCAAGTTATATCCTACCTAAAAAAGTTCTTTATGGTATTGACAAACTGTGTAGAGATTTTCTATGGGGAAAAGCTGATTCGAATAAGCCTTCTCTTGTCTCCTGGGATGTTATCTGTAGAAGTAAGGATCAAGGAGGGTTAGGAATCTTTTCAGCAGTTACATGGAACACTGCATCTGCCCTTAAGATCATATGGTTTATTCATTCAAACAAGGAGCTCCTTTGGATTAAGTGGATTCATGGTACTTATCTGAAACATAGGAATATTTGGCAGGTTGAGGCAAAAATTGGAGACTCATGGATGTGGAAACAAATCCTGAGAATTAGAGATAATGTGTTGAATCTCTGTGGTGGAGTTTCAGGTCTTCTTCATCTTATTAGCTCTTGTATAAAGAGTTCTAAGTTGAAAATTTCAGCTCTTTATCATGCCCTACTTCCTATTACAGCTAAAGTAGTGTAGAGGGAAACTGTCTGGGAAGGAATTAGCTTTCCTAAGCACAGTTTTGTGTTGTGGCTTGCAACCCTTGACAGATTACTTACACAGGATAAGCTCCTAAACAGGGGAATTATCAACTGCAATTGTTGCATCCTGTGTTCTGTAAATGCCACAGAATCTAGAAATCACCTTTTCTTTGCTTGTTGTTTTTCAAGTGAAGTTTGGAATGGTATCATGGACTGGCTAAGGTTCAATTGGAGGTCGTGTGACTGGAATTTACTCCTGGACTGATATAATACCAGGTTGAGAGGGAGTGTTTTCAAAAATAAAATCAAGAGAATGGCTTTGGCAGCTACTGTTTACAGTATTTGGAGAGAAAGAAATGTAAGAATTTTCACTCAAGTTTGCAAGGGTGCTGATCAGCTGATTAGGGAAATCAAAATTGATATATTGTCTAGCATCCTTAACAGTAAGCTCCTGAATGAGCATAGGGATCTGATGTTGGCACTATAATCCCCTGTGGAATTAGGATCCTGATTTTTTGTTGAGGTTCTGCTTTGAAGTGGAGGCTTCAATCTAAGGTTGAAAATGAGGAGTACAAGTTCTGTCTTGGATTCTCTCTGATCCAGCTTCTGGATTTTTGAGGTCTGGATGTGCACGTCCAAACCTGTGCACGTTTTATCCTCAGTTTTGTTTTTCTTTGAGGGTTTTTCTTCTCTTTTCTTTGAGGAGTTTTGTATATAGTTTTCAGCTATATTTTTTTTTTGTTAACTCACATATGTGAGGTTATTCTTGATGTACAAAATTTTACATATTGGTGATGAATAAAATTTTTATTTACCAAAAAAAAAAACAAAGATGGAGGAAATTACGAGAGAAGACATGGAATGGAGGATTAATCCACAAGTTAATTTTAATTTAGAATTAAGGACTACTCTCTTTTGATTCTCATATTACTTTAGAATTTTTAAGCATAGACTATCAAGTTACTCAAAACAAGCATAACCTATCAAATTCATATTCAAGCAATATTATCATTCATGAAAAATATAACTAGATAGTAACCTTGGAGTTAAATAAGCATAATTTATCAAACCACTCAAGAAAAGTATAGACTATTAAACTCTTTTTCTACAAAAATAGTTATCTAATTAATATCCTAAGTAGGATTATTTTAAGCACAAAGAGAGTAATTCAAAAACCAAAAGGAAATTAAACTAATTTCACTTAATCCTAGATTTCGTATAAAAATTACCAACTCACATTGCAAAATAAAAATAAAGAAAGAAAATTTATACTAAAAAGCATTAAAGATAACAAACTAAATCTAAACTACAAAGTAAATAAAGAAAGAAAGAAAATTTGCTCTACAAAGCATAAGAAGAAAAAAGTAAAATTTACAGTACAAAGCAATAAAATAGCAAGAAAATAAATTTATGCTACAAAACATGAAATAAATATTTACTACAAAGTAATAAATATAATTTACCAATTATGAAATTAAAAACTAAACTTAAAAACCTAAAATACGCAAAAACTAAGTAAGAAAATAAAAAGAGGAAATGAAGACTTACATTGCAAAGGGTTAGCTCCTTGAGAAGAAAATCTTCATCATCAAAGGAGAAAAAGAAAGAAAATGGAAAAAGAGGAAAAAAGTTATTTATTACAAAGAAAAAATTTATAATTTGGAAGGTTTTCTCAATTGAGAGTAACCCTCCTCTCTAAAATGGAGTATATAAAAATTTTACAAAACCAGCCTACAGCCCGTCAACCACAACTCTTAGATTAATCTTGGGCTCTAAGAAATCAAAATCAATCATTAATGCAATATGTTACAAACTATTCGATTAGCTAATTGATGAGCTAATCGATGAGCTTATCGATTAGCCTATCGATTAATTTGTAACAAATTTACAACAAACTTTGTTGACTTTGTCTTCTTTTTGCTTTTGGCTTTTGGGTTTTTGGGCTTCTTCTAGGCTTCAATGTGAGCTTGAAAAATGAAAAAAAATTATTCCTTTAAGCAATTATTTGATAATTCTTCATTACCTAAAACATATTATTAACTGATATATTTATTGAAATAAATTAAATAGATAATTAGGGTGAAAAGTGCAATTAAATGTAATGATCGGTACTCTTCTTTGTATTCCTAGTTAATTTGTGCCACTTGTTTCTGAATTTATGATTAAATTAGTATCTTCTGATATGTTATTTGGAAACATGAATAATACCCATAGTCCCCATTTCAGGAACTTTTAGTTTAAAAACTAACTTTCATAAAACCGTAATTTCAGTTGTCTACCATACCTGCTTATTTTATTTTATTTTTTTGTTTTGGAAAAGCATACCGGCTTATCTGTCTACTAAAGCACGGCGTAAGCCTAGTTATTGGTTCAAGCTTTGTTTTCAATATTCTAGTAAGTTCACTATGATATTTACTGATATTCTGTTTCATTGATTCATGTAATCTCTTGTATAGGAAACTTCTGTGATTTTTATTGTTCTTTGGTGAAAGTTGAAAACTGTTGAAGATATGTCTCAGACAAAGATTGAAATATCTTGATCATAATTAGCCATTATTGTTTGTTTGGTCCAAGTACTTCTCAAACTTCAACTTAGGTCTGCAATTGAAATCAATGGCCACATGGGTAAAATCCTAAAATAAGCCTTATTGTTACTAAGAAATGGATTTAATTCTTTGTGCACTTACCAACTTATATCGTCTCTTCCAAGCTCGAGTCTCAAATGGAATTAGATTGGGTTGTGTCCTTGTTGAAATCAAGAATTAAATGGAAGTTGTTTTCTACAGAAGAAACATGTGATGTTGGAGTGGCAATTAATTCATAAGAAAAATGATTGAAGAAATTTTCTTGAAATTGATTATCACACTCTCAATTTCTAAGGTAGCAAAAAACTATGAATAGTTATCATTCTACCGAAAGACAAATTAAAAGCCCTCAAATAATAAGAAAGATGGAAAAGAGAACTCTGGTACATTATTGGTGGAACAAAAAAAAAGGATTATTATGTAGAAAGATAATTTTATATAGGAAAATCTAAATTAAAAATGTCAAAGTACCCTAAAATATCAAAAAATAAAAGTAAAAAAATGTAATTATATAAAAGATACCAAAACTGCAACTTAGATTTCGAAGACCTGTAGAGCCCTTAACATTTAAATTTGAGGATGAAACTCTGGTCTGATGAAAACCACTGTAGAAAACATGCACAAGCATTCCAATGATATTTCATAATAGTCAATTATAGATATGACACAATATCTCCATGAAATCTCCAATTTCTGCTCCAATGTCTCCATGCGAAATTTTTCAGCAAATTAGTTCCCAGTTTCCCATATGTAATTGTTCAGTAGCGTGCATATATTGGTCCTAATAACCTTAACTATGTAAATGCATTAATAGCATGTTCCATAAATACTAATTATTGGTCACAGCTAGCTTCTTAACCCTACATTAGCTGTCTTATTATCACACGCAAGGCATGACACAAACTCACACCAAGTGCCTTGCAAACTGAATCCCTCAACTACATATGGGTATTGTTGAGAGGGGCATATATAATTCATTCTTTTATTGCTTCACTAACTACTAGTATTGATGCTTAACCCAAACTATGCCATTTTAATGTTTAAGTAGTAAATTCCCTTTTCTTGATAAAATTTCATTTTCAACTGAACAGGCTATTGCAACTGTTTTGCATCACTCTATAACAAACCTACAAGAATGGTACCATTCTTATCAATGCGTATCTTATAAATTCTTGGTATACTTGGTTATTTATATATATATTAATTTATATATATATATATAATATATACTATATATATATATATATATATATATTATATATATATATATATATATATATATATATATATATAGTATATATAGTTACTTAGCTTACTTATTCTTTATGTTGGTTGGAAAAGATTTCCATGCGTGGTGCATTCGTGAAGGCAATGTGTGAGAGGTCCCCTCGCGCACCGGAGAAGAAAGTACGCGCACGGGTATTCCCCGGAAAAGCGGTATTTGCGCTTCTGCATGGCGAGCTTTTTCATCGGTTTGATTTTTAGTGCAGGATTCCAGTCAGCGACATCAACACGCCAATACAGGATCCAAGTTTTGATCTCGAGACAAGACTGTGAGAAGCACACTGACAGAGTAAGTAATAGCTTTGTCTGCTAAATTCAAAATTTACGTATCTCATTCTGACGCTTGGTATTTTCTATCATCCCATGAAAAAAGTCATAATTTTGTGTCAAAAGATAATCAACTATAAATCTGCATTCACTGGTAGAGAATCATCATTTAGTGCATGAGGAAAAATATGAACCTGTGCAATTCATAGACGATAATTGTCACATTGCATCTATTGTCTATCTAATTTTAACTAGCAAATTGCTACAAATCTAGTTGCTCTTTCTTGCCAAAATGGAATATAACTATAAACTTTTTGCCATATTAATTCACATTTGGTGATATAGAGGCTTGGAGAAGGCAGTACCAGTCCAAGAGATATCATGGGTGAAGTCTCAAAGACACATAAGGCCATTCAGTGAGTTACGCAAACTTGTAAAATATCAGTACAGTTAAAAATATTGTGACTTACATAATTTTTATGTGTTTTATCATAGGTCATTAGATAAAACCATATCGTCGCTAGAGATGGAACTCGCTGTTGCTAGGACAAACCAAATCGGGCATTCTTCATTTGGATCTTCAGCATCGGGATATGACAAGGGGTTGAAGAAGGTTTTTGCAGTGATCGGTATTAACACTGCGTTCAGCAGTAAGAAGAGACGGGATTCTCTTCGTGAAACTTGGGTGCCAAAAGGTTATATATATGAGCTTTATTACTTATATATTTGATTGAAAAAATGAAAAAAAAAAGAGTTAAATGAAGAAAATTTTCATCTGGTGATTAGTTCTAAACCTGTTAAAATTTTTGATATATAGTAATGTTCATAGAAACGTGCAATTGTCATTTTTTTTTTTGGCCTTACAGGTTTAGAGTTATGTATAATGAGAAATAACATCTCTTCATGTATATAAGTAATTAAGGATGAAATAGATATAAAGGTTTCAGCAAATTACAAGTTTTTTATACTGTTCCCAGATAAATTATGAAAATTTTGGAAAATATTAATATGTTTTTGAATGTTGATCAATCTTTTTGTCATGCCCTGGTCCCACGAATCCATTAGTGCGATGTAAGCCGTGGCACCTTCTAAATGCAATCCTTTGTTTGCTCAAACCACTGTAAAAATTGATTAGGCATTGTTACACTTATTCCCCTTTAGTTTCATCTTCAATATTGATTTTCCTTTGTACAGGCACCAGTCTTAAGAGATTAGAGGAGAAAGGCATCATCCTTCGATTTGTGATCGGTCACAGTGCGACCCCTGGTGGTGTTTTAGACCGTGCAATCGATGAAGAAGATGCTGAGCATAGGGATTTTCTTAGGCTCGAGCACGTCGAAGGATACCATGAGCTCTCGACCAAGACAAGAGTGTATTTTTCAACAGCAGTGTCTCTTTGGAATGCAGATTTCTACTTGAAGGTTGATGACGATGTGCACGTTAATCTTGGTGAGCCATTTCTAGCATTTATCCTTGTGTACGTATATGTCTTTACTAATGCATTTAAATAGATAGTTGGGATGTTAATGCCTACTATTTTAAGCTTTTGTGTCCATTAGTTTCCGAACTCTAATTAAGGCTGTTTTAGCTTTCAGAGGGATGTAATCACTCATGAAGTTCAATGTTAAGTCTGGCGGTATCAGAAGAGTGACTGAGTTTTCTAATTAGCCCACATATAAGGCTTGATTACTTACCGACAATTGATCTCTAATTAACCCACAGAAGAGACAGAATTATTCCTCAACAAGTACTATCAGAGCGAGATTGTCATCTTACGGGAGAACAAAGTCCAATTTGATATCTGATGTTTCAGAAGAGAGTAACTGATCTTTAATTACCCCACAGAAGGTCTGGTTAGCCCACAAACAGTGAAAGATACTCTTTCTGCTGTATTAATTTGAACTCTCTTTATAAACCTATCTATCGAACACAACATGACAATAATGAAAACATCTCCTTCATCCTCATTTCCTCTCTTTGATTCATTTCTTCCTGCAAGTTTGAAGGAAGAAACAAAAACATGCTATTTGAGGGCAACTGCATAACGAGCGCACACTTGCAGGGTTAACGATCATTGAATACTATAGGGTAGGTCGTCACAAATCTGTTGTTCTGATAATTAGTCTCTCTTAAGAACAGTGCTTCCGCATGTCTCAATCACACTTAATAAAATTCAATGTGCATAATAGTAACCCATTACTGTTTTGCCTACCGCACATTATAGAAAAGAATCTCATTATAGCGATCGTACATACAAGTTCAAGTTATAACAAGCTAACGGTTTAAAAGTTCTCATTACAAGATATCTTATTCTGTCAAAAAAAAGTATCACTCGTCTTTACTTGTAGCTTACCATTCTGTACATTTTGTAGGTATGCTAATGTCAAAACTTGCCAGATACAAGAGCAAACCAAGGATTTACATTGGTTGCATGAAGTCCGGGCCTGTTCTCTCTCATAAGTACGTACCAAGGATCATTATATGTATACACATACACGCAAATACAACGGATGCATGCTATATTTTTCCTGGGATATATTTATGCATGCATTGATTATAAAACATGCAAATTCCTCTGACTCTGAATTTATTAGCTCATAGATAATTTCTATTTTACTTTCTAATTTAAAGTTTACTTTGCAGAGGAGTGAAATATCATGAACCGGAATTTTGGAAATTTGGACAAGAGGGGAATAAGTATTTCAGACATGCAACTGGTCAAATTTATGCAATTTCTAAGGATCTCGCAGCATATATATCTATCAATGCGTAAGTAGTATTTCTATGAAATAGTTTTTCTCATTAGCAGTATTTAACTGTCTGCATGCTGCATGCATATGATGTCAAATGACCTTAATAGTAAAAAAAATTAAAGTTATTAGCTTAAAACTTAGTGTTGCTCAAATAAACCACATTTGAATGTAAACATAACTAGTTTCTTACTTTTTTTACAGGCCAATATTGCATAGGTATGCTAATGAAGATGTTTCTTTGGGCTCTTGGTTACTTGGATTGGAAGTTGAACATATCGATGATCGAACCTTTTGTTGTGGAACACCACCAGGTATCGGAGACAGTAAAAATTAAATTGTCCAGTTAGTCTTGGCAAAATTAAGAAACGATTACTTATTTCAAAAGAACACCAAAAATTTGAGATCTAGCTGCTTAATTGAGGATATTACATTGGATCTGTGTTCTGACTCATGCTAATACTTTATATTTACATCATAAAGCCAATTGATTTTTTTTATTGGATATGGTGAGCGAAAAATTGAGATTTGCCATGTAGTTTTGCAAATAGAACAAACAGCCAACTTTGTCGTTGCAAAAATTTGCACGAATTAGCTGAAATTGAAAATATAGCTAATTTTTACAACATGAAACTAATCATCAACTCTGTTGGATATTGTGCACAAAACTTTGACTACTTTGTTGATATTTTCTTACAGTGAGTTAGAAATTAGCCCATCACAGTTGACCAATGATATGTCGCTTTTTTCTCCAACTCATTTTCTTTTGTGGATGGGATATGATGATTTGGCGATAGTTTTGCAATACGCATGATTAGGAACATCAAAGCTTTCTGCAATTATTCTTTTCCTACTTGCATAGATAAAGAGTACGCAAGGTAGCTGAACAATATTAGATGGCATACTATTTGATTATGCTCTTTAAATGCCTCACTTAATTAGACCTTGAGATCTCTACTTTCAGATTGCGAGTGGAAAACACAAGCTGGAAATGTATGTGTAGCATCATTCGATTGGCAATGTAGCGGGATATGCAAATCAGTGGAGAGAATGAAGGATGTGCACAACACTTGTGGAGAAGGAGATGGAGCTATTTGGCATGTTGCTATCTAGACGATGAATACTCAGAGAACATTTTGGAGGGATTTGTGTTATGTATTATGTGAGCGTGATGAAAGAGGGGGCATTTAGGCATTCTTTTAATCAAAAGTTTATGTATGTGTTTTTCAAGTAGAGAAGTTGAAGAAGGATGATTATTAATATTACTGTAGTCATAAGTTTGACTTAAAACTAGTTGTATTTGCAATTGTAACTATTTGTTTTGCTATAGACCGTCACGAATATGTAACCTTTTTGCAAAATAAATTGTCAATCAATTTAGGCACGACTCCTCAGGAGGGTAAAAAAAAATAGTTGGCAACATTGAAGGGTTTTTTCACAAGTTGTAGGCTAATCAAATCCGTCGCTTAACCTGGGTTTGCTCTTGATCAACAATCATGTTAGTTTTTCGACGAGGCTTAGTTGCACTTAAAAACCCTATAATATCCACTACTTCGCACTAATATACCCTCACCTGTTTTTGGCAACACTTATATACCCTAAAATTTTTAAAACTTGTACTTATAGACCCTAATTTTTTTAGCAACACTTGTATACCCTAAAATGTTTAAAACATGCATTTAAATACCCTAAAGTTAAACTGACCAAAAAAATGAGGGTGTACAATTGCAAACTAGGGGAAACTATAAGGTATTTAAATGCAAGTATGCCTTCAAAAGAAGGGGAAAAAAGAAAGAAAATGAAAATCATAAACTTACTCCACATAGGGCTGTCCAAACGGGCCAGCCCGATCTGGGTCGGCCGAATTTCGGGGTCCGTGCCAGGCAAAATACCTAGCCCGGACCCGGGGTACCTGGGCTGGGCCCGGGTCCGGGCCAAATCAGGCTGGGTTCCGGGCTGTATTTTTTTAATTTTCTTGTTTTTTGATTTTTTACTAAAATTGATTAAAAATTAGGTTAATCTTATTTTATTTAGGGAAAAATGTGTACAGGCCCCAAAAGCAGAAACTTCATGTGATGAGGCCCCTTATAGTTTTCCCAATGTGAATCAGCCCATTGATATGTGACACTTTATACTGTAGTCTTTTTTTATTAATTATTACATGCCAGCTAAGATAAAATCCCCAAATTATCCTTATCCTCTCTCCTCAATCCCTTACACCCAGCAGTCATATCCTCTCTCTCTCTCATCTCCACTCTCTCTCTCTCCTCTCTCTAAAATTAAGAGCTTTCTCAAGCTCATCACCCTGGATGTTTTTTTAGTCACAAGACTGAGACGCACAGAGCATTATCCCATTAGCTAGAAGAAGAAAAGAAAAAAAGAAAAATGTTTGACCAGGTACAAATAAATGAACGATTTAATTTTAAAAAATAGTCAAAAGTTGTCCCCATTAAAAATGTTTGACCAGGTACAAATAAATGAACGATTTAATTTTAAAAAATAGTCAAAAGTTGTCCCCATTTTTCCACTTTCACGAGATTTAAAAAATAGTCAAAAGTTGTCCCCATTTTTCCACTTTCACGAGACATCCACGCCTTTTTGGAGGAACCTGAATTTGCAATAAACCTACTGTGCGCAATCTTTTTGTATTTTAATATCGAATTTTTTTTTAAAATAGACCACTTTTAAACTTAATTAGCAAAATAGGCTGAAAAAATATTTAATTACCAAAAATCGTTGTAAGCTAGGTTGGTAGTTATAAATCGTTGTTATAAATGAGGATACAGTCATGCTTTTATAAATCGTTGTTAATTATATTTGATAATAGTTATATATAATGATATGTTATTTCTAAATGCTATCGTGGTAGTTCTAATAGCCCTCGAGTTAGTTCTAGCTGTTACAATTGTTAATTCTGGCTACTAAGTTAGTTATAACCGCTACTTGTTATTTTTGCTTCTACCTTAGTTCTAACTTCTATTACTCTAGTTCTAGCTTGTATACAGCCAGTTCTACCCCACACCTTACTAGTTCTAAACTCAGCCCGCGTTTTTTACTTTCACACTTGTTAATTCAAGCTTATACGTTACTTCTAACTTCTATATCCTAGTTCTACCTTGTATACAGCCAGTTCTATCCCACACCTTGCTAGTTCTAAACCCAGCCCGTATTTTTTACATGCACACTTGTTAATTCTAGCTTCTACCTTAGTTCTAGCTTCTATTACCCTAGTTCTAGCTTGTATACAGCCAATTCTACCCCACACATTGCTAGTTCTAAACCCACCCTTCGTATTTTACCTTCACACTTGTTAATTCTTGCTTCTATATTAGTTCTAGCTTCTATTATCCTAGTTCTAGCTTGTATACAGTCAGTTCTAGCCCACAACTTGCTAGTTCTAAACTCATCCCACGTTTTTTACATGCACACTTGTTAATTCTAGTTTCTACCTTAGTTCTAGCTTCTATTACCCTAGTGTTTGCGGTGAAAGTTGTTGTTTCCATTGTTATCGAATCTATTACAACTTCAGTCATTACAATAAACTCGAATAAAATAAAAAGTTGATCTTTTTATAAGATCTCCTTACACAATGAAAATAAAACAATTTTACAACTTTGTCAAACAAACGCAGGGAGATCGTTTATCGATCTTCTGCTTGCGTGGGTGTCTTTGCCTGTGCCGGGGTTTATCCGTGGATCACCGTCGATCAGATCTGATTGCTGAAAAATTGGGCAGAGCTTCGTCTATCCGCGAAGGGATCGAGAAACCGTAGCTCTTATCTTGGCGAAGCGAGATAATCACTCTTCTTAAGATTACTACAACGGGATAATCCTAAGGAACGGATCCGGGAAACTGTAGATCTGACGAATCTCTCTCTCTCTTTTACGTTGAAGAACTCGATCCGATCTCTCCTCCTCCTCTCTGAAATTCGTACACCTTCAGTCTTCAATCCGGCAGGGCTTCGCCTAATCTCCAAAATTCCAGATCTCCAAAAAATGAGGGTCTGAGGCTTGTATTTATAGGCTTGAGGGGTTCCGGGCGGTTAAAATTACACAAATGCCCAATTCTGTGTTGGAGACACCCCAGGGTGTCTCCACTTGAGCCGAGACACCCTAGGGTGTCTCAGCTTGGGCCGAGACACCCTTGGGTGTCTCAGCTTGGGCCGAGACACCCTTGGGTGTCTCAGCTTGGGCCGAGACACCCTTGGGTGTCTCAGCTTGGGCCGAGACACCCTTGGGTCCGAGACACCCAAGGGTGTCTTGGCCTTAGCCGAGACACCTTAGGGTGTCTCGTTGGTCCGAGACACTCTGTTATAGTATATTTGCCCGTTTCCGCCGTAAATTCTTCGTCCGAACTCGGATTTAAGTGATTCGAAGTATGTTGGAAAGCCGACAAGGAGTTCTATCAGTTCCGGTGGTCAGATCATCTGTAGAATGAATGAGACACGAAGGGCATTGTTCCTTTTGTAAACATCGCGGGGCTCCCAATTAGCCCGTACCTCCGTTATTCTGAAATTCTGTTAGTTCACGTAGTTCGTCGATTCACTTCAATCGTTCACTGACATCAATCGAACTTCTGTGAATCGGATAGCGACGTTTATCGTCGTTCCTTAACACTGAGCTGTTCGTTGAGACCTATAGGCAATTTTCGATGCCTACAGATACCCCCTCCAAAGCGTTCCAGACTCGTTTCTTTTATAGAAGATGCTGGAATACTTTGGATGTGATTCGTCCAGCCTTCAGTCGGTGTAAAGGACCTGTAGTTAGCTCTGATTCTTGACTCCTTCGATTTTCAGTCTACTCGATGTTTTGGTGAATAGCTGAAATCCTTCCGGCACTGCGTTTATCGTCTGGCCGTCGTCGAAGTCTCAAATCTAACACTGATGAGTTGAGTTTGGCTCGTGTCATTGACTTTGAACTGACTATCTCCGTCATGATATGTTGACTCGCGTTGACTTTTTGGTCGCAACGCGTTGACTGGCGTTGACCTAGGGTTACGCGTTGACTGGCGTTAACCTTAGGGTTTAAATTGTCATGCGTTGACACAGTTTATACTCGTACGTTTACTGGAGTATACACAGTTTAAGCTCTTAAGGTATTGGAGCATGGTGGTCCCAAGTGTCGGGGCTGCAGGACCAACTGTTAAAGCTGATTCATCTGCATTTGTGGATCTTATCTTAATGTTATTGGATGTTCGGGTTACGAGACCAACTGATGGAGCTGATGCGTCAATGACTCGTATTTATAGAATTTTTGGCAAATTCTCAGCCATCAACGGGTTTGATGAGCCTTTACCGACTACCGTTTGAGTCGGGCTAGCATGCAGATTGTTTAAGTCCGTTCCGCATGTGACGTTAAGCTAAAAGAGTTAACCCTTTTAGTGCTACGATATTGAATACGTAGACTTCGTCTTTCTCCTGTGAAAAGACTAAACAGCAACGTGTATCAGACGTTGACTTAGGATTTTTGGCAAATCCTCAGCCATCAACGGATTTGATATGCCTTTACCGACTACCGTTTGAGTCGGGCTAGCAAGCGGATTGTTTAAATCCGTTCCGCATGTGACGTTGTGCTAAAGGAATGAACTCCCTTAGACTTGATGCTACGACTTCGAATACGTAGACTTCGCCATTGTTACGGGAACAGGCTACCCGGTAACGCGTGTTAGGCGCTGACTTATCCTTACTTAGGATTCAGGATAAAAGTCCCCAGACTCGGATTCTGGTGTCTTCTTCAATCGGTAAAAGACTAAACCAGCAACGCATATTAGGCGTTGGCTTATCCCTGCTTAGGATTCGGGATAAAATTCCCCATGCGTGTGAGGCACGTATTATGGTGTTATTAATAACAACCTGCCACAATGTTGAATATGTGGTCTTTTATCCTTTTTACGGTCAAAGACTAACCGGCAACGCGTGTTAGGCGTTGACCTATCCCTACTTACGCTTCGGGATAAAATACCCCATACTGGATTCTGGTATCTTTTTCAATCGGTGAAAGACTAAACCGGCAACGCGTGTTAGGCGTTGACTTATCCCTGCTCAGGATTCAGGATAAAATTCCTCGTGCCTATGAGGTACGGATTTTAGGAGTCAAAAAAGTAATGTCTTTTCTTGGGGCAAAGACGAACCCGAAATGGGAGAGGAAGAATTTTATATTCTATCTCCCAACGCCGGAGAGGAAGAATTTTATATTTTATCTCTAGTTGGAAAGGAGACTCGAGGTGGGATCTCCACCCCCAGAATCCAGAAAGGTGAAACTAGGAGTGGGATCTTCACTTCGAGAATCGAAAAGATTCGGATAACCCTAACTGTCTGAAGGTTTGATTAC